GAACAAAACAACTCAAATTAATCCCATTCAAAAATAAAATTAAGAAAATGACATAATAACTCACCTTAAAGTTCGAGTGGATGAGATGTTGAAATTTCTTGTTTTCCTGTTTGTGTTTCTTCAGTTAAATGATCAAAACTTAGCTTGTTTTTCCAAAAGCTGCTGAGAGCTGATGGGAATATTTCATAGTTTAAACGGAACTTGGATTTTTTTTTTTTGCAGTTGAGGCCTTGAGGTGAGGCCTAAGCAGTTTCCCTCCAAAAGTGACTTCCTTATTTACTTCCTCATCTAAATCCAGAGAAGTTGAATGCATCACAGTGATATAGTGCTGTATGTACAATACATGTGTCCCCTTCTCCAGCAATGGTTGTTCAACTCTCACTGAGTTTTAAATACTTAGGAGTGACAGTAGGATGTCGGCCTTCTCACATAATATTCATTAGATAGATAGATAGACATACTTTATTCATCCCCGAGGGAAAATTCTTGAACATAACATGTTAATTCAATGTAATAACATGACCCTTAGTGATTCAGTGACTCTTTATCACCATGTAACAACATGAAACTTTTATTTAATGTTGAATCAACTTCAAACACAAATAGAAATAGTAGTGAGAAAAGAAAAAGTCTGAATGACATTCAACTACAACGAAGAGTCCAAACAAACAAACAAACAAACAAACAAGAAAATAACAGTTTGAGTGATAAACAACAAACAAATCATTCGATTTCAAATATAAAACCAAGAGGATCTCAGCTCAGGTTTCACTTCAGCTTTTCTTCCACTTGTGAACCATCACCCCAAACAAACGCATAGAAGAAGAAGTTGTGCTGGACTCACCTCATGTTCACACAGAGTCTGAGATCAGCTGTCGGTTCAGAGACTGAGCTGCTGCTGGAACACTCCTCTCCACAGGGAGACGCCATCATGGCTCCGACTCTTCCGTGTTAAAAGGTGGAAAGGCGGGATCAGTCCAGAGCAGGACACAATCCGATTGGCTGAACAGAACCAGGTGGTGGGGTGTGGGGGCGGGGCGTGAATCAACGTGTATTTTGAAAAAATCGTATCATACGTCATTAATACAATGGAGTAATAAGGAATTAGCGCCATGTTGAAGAAAAACAGAATTGGACTTCACAAGACTAAAGAATCTCTTGTTCAACTTCAACAATTTTAAACACTGAACTCCATTTAAATCAGAATAGTTAAAATTAATCAACTCTGAAATGTTTAACCCTGAAATTTCAACACTCTGACCTAAAATCTCAGTTGCTAAAAGTACATTTCTTACATTAAGTAGATTTTGGTACTTAGAATGAAAATGAATGTACCTGCATTTCAGTTAAATGTTTATAACATGGCAAAATATATGCAAAGTACTAGTAGTGTAAAAATACTGTAGTTGTGTTAATTTAAAAAACTTACTAGTCCCTCTACAGGACATTTACTTGAATTCAAGTATTTGTACAGAGTAATATTTAGGTTATAATCTGAGTATTTGATCCACAGATGTTTAATCTTACCTGAATTAAGATTAAACTCCGTTCTTATGGCCAGCTGTATGTTCTGGAAAGCCACAGTTCTGCAGGCAGTGCAGTCAGCAAAGGTTAAACAGATACAGATGTGTTTCACAAAACCACCATGTTCATTTTTAGAAAAAGGGAAATCACATGAGCAGCATAGTTGAGAAAGAAAAAATATAAGACAGAAAGGAATGGATGTAGATTTGGAGATAAAGGGATTTATATAGATTTTTTCTTTCTTTCTCAGTGATCCGAGGCCACATCAAGAACATCTCCCACAGCTCTGAAAGCCAGACATCGTCGGTGGAGGTGTCAGCGGTGAGGGTGTACTGGCAACGTAGTGGAGTGTTTGAGAGACGTGTGGATCCGGATTCACCTCGGTCCGTCTCATCTTGGCGTGGACACATCCACGCACTCCTGCAGTGCCATGTGAAGCCTGGGGATGGAGAGTTTCTTTTCACAGGGTCAGAACACTTTGGGGAAGCGTGGTTAGGGTGTGCACCGCGATACAAAGACTTCCTGTCCGTCTACCAGACTGCCCGGGCGGCACGTCGGAATTCCTGTGACTTCCCTTTAGACTGAGGAAGTGTGTTGTTGTAGCACCACTGAGCCCGACAGTCTTAATCCACAGGCATTTTCACCCCTGTGCTGGCAGTGTGGGATCCCTGTGATGTTTTAATGTGCCATCCTGGTGGCATCAAATATCACCAGCAGAGACAGACTGACTGATTTTCTGGTGAAACGCACATTTGGTAGAGTGGAACAGGAGCAAACAGCAGGGGCCTCCTGCACCCTGGCTCAGAGAGGGCCTGCTTTTGTCTCCCTCCCATCACTGTCCTCGGCCCTGGGAGACTAAGAAGGGGTTGAGTTGCTGCTCGGTCTTTGTGCCTCTCTCCACATCCACTGTTGTTCACTTTGCCGGCTCTGTGTGAGTGTTGCCCTCTGAACCGTGGTGGGAGGGAAGACTGAAGGGCTGCCATTTTTCAAGTTTGTCTTTGTGAATAAAGGCTTGAACATGTGTGATTGTGCAGCTATACTTTTATCCTATTTTATCCTATGCATTCTGTGTATTTAAGTGATGTATATTAAAAGCAAACCATCTTATGATTCCACTCTTCTTTGTTTATTCAAAGGATGATTAACAATATCGTCCAATTCCCCTTTATTTCAAGACTTATTGTCTGTTCAGATTTCATGGTGCAATACATTTTTAAACATTCCATTTGATCACAGGCCACATTAAATTATTGAAATGAGCCTGTTTGTCGGTGTCAGTTTTTCACTTTTATCATCAAGATCAAAAGCTTTAAAACTGTTTCCTGAAAAAGTGAAACGATGCTTTTTGTTGTGTCTATGTCAAGATCACAAGTTCACTTACTTGATTGCAGCAAAACATTTTGGTCAGAAGTTGTTTCGAACAGCAGAATGATGAACATTCAAAAAGCCACGTGGTTTTTGACGAATAGAATTCGCATTTTATCTTTGTCCTCATTTATTAATTTCAAGCGACAAGAAAAGTTTCAAGGTTTCAATTTCAAACATATTAATTTGCATTTTTTAAATCTTAACAGAGAGTCTGGTCAGTTCATTTAATCAGTGGACCGTTAAGAAGTGAGCCGAGCATAAAAATCTAAATTTCATGAGCTCCTCTGACTCTTGCACACAGGCCCCCTTAAGACTCTGCGCTCTTGGCTTGGTAAAGGCTTGGATGAACTCATGCCCCTGTTTCCCATCATTGCATAATCTCTGGTCATTTACAGAGAATGGGATTTAGAGCTGAAGAGTCCGACAAACTAATTTTTCCGTCCTTTTCCTCCTGCATCCCATCCTCTCCCTGTAATCAGATTCATATGATAATAGGATAGCCCTACCATAAAAAGAAATACCAAATCTCCTTAGATGGCCGAAGCTGTGAGCAGACTGAATCAGACTTTTCTTTTGAGCTGTGTGGCCCCTGCATCAAGACGGCCCAAGAAGACGAATGGACAGATGTGAGGCCCCAAAGCCTGGGATCCTCCCTCTCTGCCCCACCCAGAAGAGGGGAACAATTAATTGACTTTTAAAGAAACTGCTTTCCGAGCCTATTCCACACTTCTCCTTGGCTGAGCAGGGCTCACAAATTGGTGTGTTGAACTTTTTATGAGGACTAAATAGCTGCCAATGAAAGTGTAAATGACTGTGTAGTGAATGGGGCCCACACAATGGCCCTGCAGTGGCAAGGCCTCCAGCAGACATAATGACCATTGTCACGGCTGCTGTCATCTAGAAACCATCAGGGCTCACGAATCCCAGGAGCTGGAGGAGAGAGAGAGAGCTCTCACTCAACCCTTGTTTTCTCTTCTCGTTTATTTCTGCTAAATATCCTTTTATTTCTCAGTAGCTCATCTCTTTGTTTGCATGTAGCCCGTTTAGGCCTCAGCTACAACTTGATCAGCTGCATGAAGGTTTTGAGAAATGATTGCCTTAGTTTGAAACAAGATTAGGAACATGATACTTGTTGCACTCAGTGTTGTAGATCAATTGTAGATCAATTCTAACATGGACTCCTAATATGAAAACATTTTGTGGGTATACACATATTGTTACAAGCTGCAAAATGTGTTTTGCTCAAAATCAAAATCTTCCACATACTTTTTTAATCGTTCACAAGCTCAGTTTGAAGTCTCCTCCCTCGGTATTGTTCCAGGGGGGCCACCATGTCAAATTTCTAAGCAAAATATAGCCTCTCTGCAGGCTTTTCAGACCGCACAATCCTCATCTCTGGGAATTCCAGCAGGCTCTCATGGGGAACAAGCCCAGGAGGGCGCAGAGTGGAGCTGCTGCATGGTGCATCGGCAGGAGTCCGTCCAGACTGGGGGGTAATTGGTTTACCCCACCGCCTGGCCTGCTTTCCCATGTGGGCCACTGCTGCGGGGAGGCACAGGGGTACAATATGGAAACAGCATGATACCCTCATGTGCCGAACGGGCATTCACTGCTGCGGCTATAGAGAGCGAGGACAGGGTACTAGGAACACAAAGCTGGAGCAGAGATGTCTCTTGGCTTTGAAAAGGTTGCCATTTGGTCTCCTTTTAACAGTGAGCAGCATTTGTGGCTGAAAATGTGAAGTAATTGAATTTTAGCTCAAGATATTCTTCTCAATTCAAAAGGAAATTATATAGACAATTTACTTCTCCACATATAATCGTGCACCTGGTTTAAAAGTGTATTTTTCTCATGTCCTTGTGAGTCTGACACGACAATGATACAAGCAACATTTAGGATTAGAATTTTGAAGTTTTTTCTGTTCTTTGACACATTTTGAGCAAGAGACATGTTTACTCAGCTTACTAATCATCTACAGCTCAGTTTAAGTTTACCTTTAGTGTGGCTGAACCAGTTTTATATTAAATGAACCTCTTAGCTTAGTATAACATTAGATTCTGCACACTCATGCTTCGTTTTATACTCATCACAGTGAAGTTGTCATAAAAAACGTTTTTACCAATTTCATAAAAGGTTTATTGTGTAACAACAATTGTATAAGAACATATGAAAGAAGTTATGTTGTAACTGTAGAGCACCTCATGATGTAACTGAAGTTGATGTTCACACAATCTCATTTCAAAATGAGTCGGATCTTCCGGTCTCCAAGAAGGAGGCTGCAAAAACGGAAAAACAGTTACATTCTTTCTCATTCGTTAATTTATTTTCATTTGTCATAATTATTCAAATTACAGCGACAGAAGTGTCAAACCTACCGGACCAGAACTGCCGCTACTAAACATCCCCCGATGGGACCCACCCAGTAGACCCAGTGATAGGTCCAGTAGTTGCTCACTATGGCTGGACCAAAGGCTCTGGCTGGGTTCATACACGTCCCAGATACATCTCCACTGATAACACAGAGAATTACATGAGATATTCAGATGGGTTTCTCACTTTGTGTCTGGAACATATTGTATTCAAGTGAATTTGAATTATGATCCCTCATTGTATATTTACCTCCACCAAGGAGGTAATGTTTTCAACCATGTTCGTTTGTTGGGTTGTATTTTTGTTTGTAAGCAAGATTACACAAAAACAAAAGAATGGATTTTCAAAAAACTTGCTGTATTGGTCAGGAAAGAATAACCCATTCAATATTGGTGCCAGACCAGATTTAACAATGCAAGAGAGGCCACTTTTTAATCTTTTCATTGTTTTCCTAGAGAATAATTCATAGATCTTGATGAGAAAAAATGAGTGAAGTTTTGATTGAATTTAAGGGGACTGTTGGGCTACTGAGTGGTAGCCCAACATAACTTTACTGCAATTTGCTACAAATCTAATGACCAATTTTAAAGTATGAAGAATTTATTGACATCTAGTGGTGTAGTTGCATGTTGCAGCTGAATACCCCTCACTTCCCTCTCTCCTCTGAGAGAGAATCTGGGGCAGCCTTCAGTTGTCATAAAAACTCAAGAGGTTTTTATTTTGTCCTGTTTGGAAGACTGTAAAAAACATGGTGGCCTCCATAGAGAGGACCCACTCCCCATGTAAATATAAAGTATTTAAATATAAAGGGCACATTCTAGTCTTAAGAAAACAACAATTCGTACAATTTAGATGAAATACACTAGCGAAAACATGACTATGATTATTTTATATTCAGTGTCTGCCAATAGATCCCGTTCACCTAAATCTTACACACTGGTCCTTTAATATATGTAAATGTCCATTAATGCTTCATGCAAAAAGTCTGTCATGCATTTAAATGTGAAAATTAAATTTCTTCTCACCCAGCCAAGATGTTGAAGATGACAGTGCAGCCCACCAAGAAGGGCACCATGGGGCTTCTGGTCTTGGAGTTCACTGCCCCCAGCAGCAGCACCATGGTGATCAGGCAGGTCATGGCGACCTCTCCAAACACTGCTCTTCCTACCTGACTGTCTGCCTGCAGCAGATCGAACGCAGCCCCATGAGCCTCGGCATAGTTCTCTTTGCTGGTCATTCCCTGTTAGAGTCAGTCAACCGTGAATCAGATGAGAAGAGTTTTCCTGAACATATAAGAGAGTCTATAATGAAACACAGCTTCACCTTTGCCATAGAAGCTCCAAGCACACCTCCAACCAGCTGAGATGCAAGGTATGGGACCACCATGTTTACCTCCATGCCTCCACACAGGTAGATGGCCAGGGTGAATGAAGGGTTAAAATGGGAACCGCTGGTGAAGCAGAGACATTTAGAAATCATTGACTTCAAACTATGAACTTTTACAGTGACGCCAAGTCAATGGTTTTGAGGTAGATTATTCATATGGGATGAAATAGTTCAACAGAGATTGGATGAATAAGGATGTGGAGTGTCAGGATGTGTTCTGTCACTGCAGGTATTTATAAATTAAACTTATAGGTAACTGAGTATAAGCCACCCAGAATCCCATATTCTTGGTGCAGTAAAATGCACAATAATTATAAATATCAATTTTTAAAAGAATATTGATGTTCCTCACCTGATCTCAGCCATGCAAGCCACCAGGACAGCCACAGCAAAACCATGCACCAGAGCTGGCTGCAGCCTCCCTGTGGTCTCCACATTCTCAATGACAGACACGCAGCCGATAAACACGAAGAACATAGTCCCCACCAGCTCGCCCACGCAGGGCTGAAATAGCCTCTCGAATTTGTTGGGCACCCTGACTGGAGGCGGTTTGGACTCTGAAGTCATGAGAGACGTCTCAACTTCACCCATCTCGACCTTCTCATCGGCCATGAGTCTTCAGTGAGGTTGTGGTGCTGAGAACTGAAGGTGTGCCACTGACTCTGCTGACCTGTGACAGTCTGAGTCTGTTCCTCCTCTGACCTCACAGACACTCTTTCTCTCTCTCTCTCTCTCTCTCTCTCAATAATCCAAACACGCCTTTTCATCACATCTCAACACTGCACTGGCTCAGGTAAATATTTCATGCTTTTGCTGACAAGCTAGTAAATGAGTTTAAAAATAAGCCAGTTTCTGTCAGTGATTGAAACCCAATAAATCACAGTGAAGTATGAGGAAATAAACATGACGTTTTCATTGTTTTCCATGAAAGGGTCAAAGGGGGACAAAGTCGGGAAATGATTGTCGATCACTATAGATGCAGAAGTAAGGAATGGAAAGTCGTGTATCTTGGGTTGTCTGATACCCTGATGCTGTTTCAGCTGTGAAGAAAACATTAGCCTGGATCTGGATAAGGATGCGAGCCAGACATGCTGAATGTTTACCCAAGAGCAAAGTCTGGGTCTGGTTTCTAATTGAGGGGAAAGATAACTTGAGTTAAATTGCATACTTTCAAGATACGGCAGCTTTAACTTACTAATAAATGATCTCCTACAAGATGATTATAGATTATACAAAGACAACATGTATGTCTATGGACCAGAGCTGCCCCCAAACCATGTTTCTGTTACTCCAGCACACATCACCCTGAGCTGTGATTAGATTCTGCAGTATAGCCTGAATAATATCTTGATACCAACCCTTTCCATTATTTCAAAGTGTGGTAACCTGCTGTGTTGTTCACATGTGTATATTGTTGAGTAAGAGCAAGTTATGCAAAACATGTGAGGTTGAAAACCATAATAATAAAATGATGCCGCGTGGTAAAGATATCACTGAGGACTGCTCAGGGATTTTGAGTGTGATTTTATGGCTTTGTGGGTTTCAAACAACAACACAACCTCTAAAAGTGACATGGACAATAAAGACAAGCAGCGTTGCACATTTCAAACTATCAGAGCTTTTGATTACTCCTTCAACAAGGGTGCAAAATGTGGCTTAATATCAATACTGCACCTACTGGGACCCATTAGAGTTGCTGAGTGTATATGCACTAATGCACACTGAGATACTGACATCTAGGCCAGGTTGTGTGTTTCCACATGACTGCACAGCTGCTTACAAAGCACAGATGTGAACATGTGCCACTGGTTGTTCTTAAACATCAACCAACCATAGTTAAAGTATCTCAAGGGAGGGTTCAAAAGTTCCCTTGCTCTATGCACACACACACACACACACACACACACACACACACACACACACACAC